CCCCCCGGCCCGGGGAGCCGTGCGGCAGCTCCCCACCCCAGCTCGCCTCTGCTCCGCCTCCTCCCCGAGCACGCCGTCGCTGCTCCACTTCTCCCACCTCCCAGGCTTGTGGCGCCAATCAGCCGTTTGGCGCCGCAAGCCTGGGAGGGAGAGAAGCAGAGCGGGGCGGCATGCTCGGGGAGGAGGCGGAGCAGAGGTGAGCTGGGGCAGGGAGCGGTTCCCCTGTGTGCCGGCCCCCCCCTTACTTGCTACAGGCGGCCCTCCCCGCGCCCCCCTGCCCTAGCTCACCTCCACTCCACCACCGCCCCGGAGCGCGCTTTTGTCCACCCCCAACCACTTGGCGCCCTAGGCAGCCTCCTAGTTTGCCTAGTGGGTGCACTGGTCCTGCTGAAGGTGAGTAAGGGTTTCATAAAGTCGTAATACAAAGAAATACAAGTAGGACTATGGTGCAAGTGACCTACATTCATATTTAAAGAAGAAAAGAAAAACAATGTTCCTCCCTACATTTTCCCTCTCTTTGATCTAATAGCACATTGTTTAATCTCCACACTGGTACTGAGCATTCCCCTGTATCCCTTATTCTTTTATATGTGGTGAATGTGTCGAGTCTTCAACTGGAATCCATTAGGATGTGGTATTCAGGCTGCTTCTACCGGCATTCACTGTTCACCTGATTTGAGTTGTAGGAGGAACAGACTCCGCTGCACATTGCCTCTCGGTTGGGTAAAACAGAGATTGTCCAACTGCTGCTACAACACATGGCTCACCCTGACGCCGCAACCACTAATGGGTACACCCCACTGCACATCTCTGCCAGAGAGGGGCAAGTTGATGTAGCATCGGTTCTCTTGGAGGCAGGTGCTGCACACTCTTTGGCCACCAAGGTAAGATGAGATGCATTGTGCTAGTCTTCCAATAGGAGAGATAAGACTGTGATGTGGTTACCAAGCAGGGAGGCAGTTGTCTAGTGAGGGAAGCATTTTCACTGAGAAACTTTGACCTGGTTTTATTATAAACAATAGTTAAACAGATGAAAGCAATATACAGGGAATTCATCAGATTTTGACACATATTTGCCTTCTCTGAAGCCTCAGGTTTTGGTTTAAGCTGGAGACAAAATATTGGACTTGATAAACAACAAATGATCTTAACAAGTTTAGAAAGTACTAGGTTTCTATGACAAAGGAACCTCTCTTGCCTACAAGGTGCCTTCTGTGTATCCAAATAAACACCTAAAATCATCATCCCTAGCATTTTTTAAACAAACAAACCTCCTTAAAGGCCTTATTTATTTTAATTATTTAAATTAATGAAAGAACTCTGGTATCTAACAGCTGAAATGAAATTCTCAAAATATAAATTGCATAATAAATCAGAGTACTGTACAACCAGATTGACATTCAGCATCTTAGTAAATTAGTAAGGTATTGTACCACATGGCATGGCATAGTTGATTATTTCAAAGATTGTCCTAAAAATATTCTACAGTACTAGATTTGTTTGCCTGCCTATTAAAGTGTTAACAGGTAGATTCCTAATAGAAGTAATATAAAGGAAAATGGATATGGGGGATAGAGCGATGAATCAAACCCATCATCTGCGATTATGCGATTGCAAATATGGTATCAGGTGGAAAGAAGAGCTCCTTATTTTATAGTTGGAGCTTAAACCTTATATCTTCCAGGGTTTAGAAAATTCTAAACCAATGGTTCTCAAATGAGAAGTCATGGATTACTGGTGGTGCTGGCTGTTTCCAGATGTTAAATCACATTAAAACACAGTTAAAACTATACTAAATACTTTCCTAATTTTCCATATAAGCAATTGCTGTAATTGCTGCTGGGATGTTGTGTAATCATAGCTAAGAGAAGAGGTAGTCTGTAAGGTAATCCTTCTTTGTTAACATGTGATCCATGCTATGGAAAACTTTGGGAACCCCTGGTCCAAACCCTGTGCAGGTAGAGTAACATAACTTGATGGCAACTAGAATAAACACCACACATTGTCAAAATGTCAGGCAAATATGTTATGATGGCTCCCTGGTGATGTTTCCAGGACAACAGTTGCAGATCATCTGCCCCCTGCTGTCCTTAACCCTTAAACTTTTCTTATCAACCTGATTTTTAAAAAGAAATTACTGGGGAAATAATTTGTTAGACAGACATTTTGTCAAAGGTCTAGTGAATCCATATTAACACTTAATAGAAAAGGTGTTTTTAAGAAGACAACTTTTCACCCCTACCTCCATAAATGTATGTGTTTACAAAAATTAACTTGTTACAGCCCTCCTGTTAGACAATATCTATTTCAGTAGAGCTGCAGAAGCTGTATACAAATGTATTGGCTGTATAGGTATGTGTGTCTTAATATATAGTATCATTCTTCTGCGGAGCTGCTGCAATGGTAACACCACGTTCAGAGCTGTTCTCATTGGATTTAGTTTTTTTGCAGATTGTTTGGCCTATCAGTGGCTTCCAGGGACAAATCAATGTAGTGGATAAATAATTAAAAACTCCGTCACCATAAAACTAAATAAAAAAGTGAGCCACTGAAAAGCTAAGTTTTGGATAAAATTTGAATTGGAGCCTCACTACCCATGCTATGGATATTGCTTGGTAAACTTTTTAGGTGGTAAAATGTCATACTGTGGCCATATGGAAGACTGAAAGAGAGGATATTTTCTTATACGACACACTCATATCAAAATACTTCAGACTCATTGGTGCCATTACTAGTTGTTAAGTCTTATTAGTTATTAATGAATAAAAATGGCAAGTGGCTTTAATTTGAATCATAACCTGCTAAAACATTCAAAGGTTGGAAGAAAAAAAAATGATCATTGCGTGAAAGATCCCAGAGACTCTCACTAAAATTTTTGTCTCCTAAAAATTATTCAGAAGGGATTCACACCACTGCATGTGGCAGCCAAGTATGGAAGCTTGGATGTGGCAAAACTACTTTTGCAGCGTCGTGCTTCTCCTGATTCAGCTGGCAAGGTACAGTCCTCCACTACAGGGAATCACTGGGGGATTGAAAAGCAAAAAGCAATTATGCTCAGTAATTTGGTGAAAAAATAATGTAAAAGAAGGAAGAAGTTGCATTCACTGTCCAACTTAACTGTATTAAAAATAACAGTCTCTCTGGAATGATTTTTACATACACATGTATATGAGGCTACCTCACAGTGTGTTTAATGTTTTATTTTTATTACAGCAGGACATGTTGGTGCACAATTATAAAGACTGATATGTTACTGTGGATCAAGAAGTGCCCATTCTGTTAAATTATTCAGGTCATAAAAATCACAATTCAGAAATAATGGGGCAAGACCAGAACTATCACTTTTTTCCCATGTTGCGAAGGTTGCTCATAATGATGTTTCTCTGACTTGGAGATTTCAGAGCTTGGTTTGTGATGAATAATAAATACTGGCCAAATCAAATTCATCCACAGTTGCTTGCCCTGTTTTAAGCAAAGTACATCATACTAACTGTTGACTTACTATTATTTTCAGTCTCAGCAACGTTTCTAAAACAAAAATAATTCAGACTGAGTTAAATGTCATTTTGTTTATGTATTTATTGGCTAATCAATTAATATATTTGTTTAATATATATTGATTTGAGGCTTAATGGTTGCTTATGCCCAGCTAACAACTTAATTCGGTAACACGCCCTTTACAGAATGGCCTCACCCCACTCCATGTAGCTGCTCACTATGACAACCAGAAGGTGGCTCTGCTGTTGCTGGAGAAAGGTGCCTCTCCCCATGCTACTGCCAAGGTGAGATTTCACACCCAATCACTGGCAACGTTACCATCTGAGAACCAGGGGAATAATTTTAAAACAACAGCAAACAAAGCAATGAAGGAGCTGAGTCAGCTGAAGGCTGGAGCCACAGTTGCAAACTCCTGACACACCCCAGAAGGTGGATATAGAGGCCTCTGCTGGTCAGAGGCTACAATTGCAGCTGACTCATGTTTGTTCTTGAGCCTCTCAGGGTACGTCTATACTTACCTCCGGGTTCGGCGATAAGCAATCGATCTTCTGGGATCGATTTATCGCGTCTTGTCTAGACGCGATAAATCGATCCCGAAAGTGCTCGCCGTCAACGCCGGTACTCCTGCTCCGCGAGAGGAGTACGCGGAGTCGACGGGGGAGCCTGCCTGCCACGTGTGGACCCGCGGTAAGTACCTTGTAGTTTGAACTAAGGTACTTCGACTTCAGCTACGTTATTCATGTAGCTGAAGTTGCGTATCTTAGTTCGAACTGGGGGGTTAGTGTGGACCAGCCCTCAGATAAACAGTTGATGGGTGACCAGCAGAGGAAAGGGAGAAAGAATGCTTGGGAGTTGATGCACAAAGAAGCCTCATACTTTTTCTTCTCCCTCCTCTGCTGCCTCCTCTTCTTGCCCTTCACAGCCAGACACAGTTTGGAGGGAAAGGAGTTCTCCTCCTCAGAGAAAAGCTGGAGGAGAGAGGCCCCTCCTTTTGCTTATAATTGTCCCCATCATTAGAATATGCTTAGAGATATTTTACAACCTCATAGCTACGGTAGTTTTGTATCTATAGTTTTCAGGATTTTTGAAGCTATGCAAGAACTCTAAATAGCACTTCTGAGACTATGCTCAAGCCTATTAATTGTATCTTCTATGCTCATTCTTAAAAATAGAGCTGGTTTTTTTAATAGAAACGGTAAGGGTTGTTTTTTAAAGTCACTATAGAGCGTTTTAGAAGCATACTTGCTTTATAGCATAGCCAATTATAGTCAAACCTTGTTACTGGAGCGTAAGGACTGCTGATTATCCAATGCATTGAGAAATACGAGGAAATTCAGTCCATGCGGACACCAGATCAGGATGTCCTTGTGTGATTGAGTTCCTGAGTAGACTTTATGGATCACTCATCTATTGTCCCTAAAAGAGACCCTATTCTGGTCTAACTGAAGCTACCCTGTTGCCTGTTCCAGTTAGTGACCAGACACACACAGAATGATTTTCCTCTTACAGATATCAGTCAAGAGTAACTCCATTAAAGTCAGTGAAATTACACCAGTGTAAAATCAATGTGCAAGAAAAATCTGGCCGAAGAGTACACACAGTCAATTAGAGTGGCATCTCCATCTGAAAGCTAGACTCCGTGTGTGTCCAATATATATTGCAGACTCAAAGTAGAGCCCATACAGTTTAAATGCTATGGCTCTACCAGGTAAACCCATGACGACATTCCTTGTGACTGAGTAGTAGGTGCTGTGCTAAGCTTGTCTCAGTCATTCTTTGAATATGTTGCATATATGATTGTCTGAGTCCAACTTAATTTTAATGAAAAAGAAGCATAATTTGGAGCTTACTTTAGTACTGCATAGTGTTGGAAACCTGTCCTTGAAATTGTGTGTGTAGAGAGGTTTGCCTGGCAGGATCAGGGCTTGTATCATTCTCTGATATGTTGTAGGAGACTAAAAACAGAAAACACCCACACAGAACCCTATCTGTGCAAGTTTTCATTGATTTAAAATTTTCTGGCTCCTACACTCTGCTCAAACTGTCCTTCAAGAAATGGCCCTTCTTTTCATTGATGTACAGGAGGCACTGCTTTTGCTGGTGTGGATGGGAATTCAGCAGAAGCATTGCTGCAGTAAGAAATTTTACCAACCCTCCTCCCCAAACACAGATACTATAAATGTAACAAGGATTCTGTTTGTCCTAACCCCTAATTACGTCTTTGGAAATGAAATACAGGGAATTAAGTGGAACACCATCCTCTTCTTTCCAGATAAAGCAGTGTGTCAATGCACTGAGACTGTACATTATAGTTAATAGCTCATGAAAGAACTCCTCCCTCTGACTGTATTTTCAGCCAATTGTATAACTGACACAGCTATCAAAGTTGCAGGTGCAAACACACATCCACCTCTATACTTTTACATCCAAAGAGCAGAGTGCAATGCAGAGCATGCACCCATCAAGCACCAAAAAGTTGTCACTCATCAGTCAGAAGCAGGGTATTTACTCATTTTGGGGGAGGGGAGGAATTGGGTGAAATGGAGCCAGTGACGGGACAATTCTAACGTGTGAGGCTAGGGCATAGTTAAATTCCAGCTTGGGTGGAGGAGAAGTGGATGAAGACAAAGCAGTTGCAGAGCAGGTCCTAGTAGGTTCCAAAATATAATTAACTCTAATCTGTGAGAGTATAAAATAATACTGTTTCCAGGCACCTTATTTTACAGTGTACTGGCTTTTCCTAGTTTTTATGTAACTTCTCTTTCTTTTCTCTCTCCACCCACACTCTAGATCCTTAGCTGGTGTAAATCTGAATAGTTCAATGTCAATTTGTATTAGCTGGGGATCTGGATCTAAGTTCTATTGACATCTGCTGACTGCAGTATTCTTGTCAGCATCCATATGGGTCAGCCACTACATGCATGCATTTCCAAATCAGTGCATTTCTGTCTGTCTCTATATTCCTTGGGACATCTTATTCTTATAGAATACGTTCTTCTATATATTACAATATCGAAGATTTCCAAAATTTAGAGTTCATTGCAGTCTCTCAGTCTTCATTTATTAACCAGCTACCACTTTGGTATGTGGAAGACAAGATGCACTTTTTTTGCATGATTACAGTATCACAAAGTGAAAAAAAAAGTTTTTGGATTTAAAGAACTAAAAACAAAAACAAACTCATTGTAATATATGCCTTGCAATTAAACATTAGAACTGCTGGAAAATGGAATTTCCCTCGTGAGAAAATTTTGATTTTTTTGGAATGACTTTTCATCCAAAATTTCAAACTTTTTCACAGGAGGAAAATTTCTGAAAAATTCCATTTTGGGATAACCAAAACAGTTAACTTTCCAGGCAGCTGCCTCCAAGAGGTGCCCAACTTCTCAGGCAGCCAACTCCCTTAGGGAATCAGGCACTACAGGGAGGCAGCTCCCCAGGGAGCTGGCTGCCCCAGGATTCGGGGCAGCCAGGGAAACCCAGGCTCTCAGGAAACCTGGCAGGCAAGCACTCTGTCCTGCTTTCCTGGTTTCTGTCGAAAGTTTCCATGGAATTGACACATCCCGCTGAACCTTTAGATTCTGTCAGTTCAGCATTTTCTGACAGAAAAATGTTCTATCTGAAATTTTTTGACAAGGTCTACTAAACATAGATTTTAACGTATTGCTTTATAATGTGCAGTTTGCAATTGGAAAAGTTAAAATGGCACTCATTCCCACCAGATAGCATTGAGGCGAGGAGCCCAGAGGCTTAGAAAAAGGACTAGATATTTATGTGGATATTAAAAACAGCCACAATACACCAGATAGCCTGAGGGGTTATATACTTTTTATGCTAGTTTAGGGCATAAGATAACTATTAAATGGCAGGGTTTAGGAAAAGTTTTCCATATGCATAGGCTATTCCATAATTGTCCACCTTCCTTTGAAGTATCTGGTATTGGCCACTGTTGGAGACAGGATTCCAATCTAAATGGACAATTGGTCTCATCTGATACAGGAATCCTATGTAAATAATTCTTAAGATACAGAAATGTCTCAATAGTTAGTTTTTAATGGTTTTTCTTGTCAACATTCCTTCATATTTCTCTATGCCACCATAATCTGAAAAGTGGACATTTTCTATTCCTCCATTATTCTTTCCACTGGAAACTGACTGTAGGATTGTCAAGAATGGGAAAAATAATGACACAGTGTCTAGAGACAGATTGTTCCAGATATTTCTATGAAATAAAATGGACCACTATTTGCTATGTGATGGATTTGTAAACATCAGAAAAGGCTATTAACATGTGGAGCCTGGTTTTAGAATGGATACACCCCTCTGCACATTGCTGCCAAGAAGAATCAGATGCAGATAGCTACCACGCTGCTGAGCTACGGAGCTGAGACCAACATTCTGACCAAACAGGGAGTGACCCCGCTGCACCTGGCCTCTCAAGAAGGTCATGCTGACATGGTTACCTTGCTCCTGGACAAAGGATCTAATATCCATGTGGCAACTAAGGTAATGCCCTCTCACCACTGAGGATAAGCTATCACAGGGAGGGCATCCAATGACTTGCAAAGTGCAATACAAGAATAGAGCCAGCTGCTCAGAAATAAGAGTCCAAACTACACATCTCTATACACATGCAAAAGCTCAAGATATGAGAAGTGTAAGGAAGCAAGGCAGGTGGGTGAACAGCAGCAGTGAGGATAGCTAGGGCTAGCAGAGAAAGTGACCCTGATCAGAGGCTGTCTTAAAAGCATATAATTAACAGCTGTGTTGGGTAACCTAGGGAGGACCTTCAGTGGTGTGCCATATTCAGTGGAAAATGATGTGCCTGCAAGCTCTGACAGAAAGGTGGGCTTGGAGAAGCAGGCAAGCCAGGGGAAGTTGCTGCAGAACCAGCCATGGAGAAAGGGTTGTAGTGTTCCCACTGTCCTGCAGTCTTATATCTCTGAGCTGTTCCCAACATAATACCAAAGTTGTACATCCTGTCTAAAGGATTAAGAAATAATAGAAAGGAGGTTGCACAAAGCTCTAGGTCATGTGGGTCATTGGGTTGATCCAGCCCTATGTGACACACGTCAGAGAACAATAGCTTGAGGGCGGAACTAGTGGATTGCTTATGGCACTTACCCCAATATATTGTGCCATCCAGCTTCCTTGCTGGGATGGAAGAAACTAGTAATGTTTGGCAAAGAGTAATGCAGCTTTACTAGTTGAGAAAATCATAAAATAATCCTAATGAAAACCATTCTGATCCATCAGGTTTTCTATTGGAATGTGTGCCAGATCCTTCCTAGAAGTACCTTGATTCCCTCCCAAAAAACATTACATCAGACTTTCTGTGATGCAGTTTTATCCAGCCAAAAGATGCTGAACAAAATTTACTCTCTCAGGCCCTGGTTCTGCAGCCTTTGCTCAGGAGTAAAAGCTGCATGATGAGGCTCTTGCTGTATGAGAATAGTGTAATGCGCCATTCTAAGAAATGGGAAACAAACTGCTTTTCCATTCTCATAGTCAGTGTATCTATTTATACAATTTATTTATATAAGCTCTTACCCATTGCCTGTCCACAGGCTATCAACAGGTACTTTTTTAAAGGTTTGCTTCAATTCTCTTTTTGGGCCTCAATTCTCTTCTACTGTTTCCTTTATTCTGATTCCTACCCATAATTGTTAAAGCCCATTTCTCCCAGCTGAGGAAGGCTACATATGGCTCCCAGAGTTGCAGAAGGGGTCATCCTACTTCATTAGTTGGCACTTTGATTTCTCCAGTGACGTTATTATGTAAAGTCCAGGTCTGGTAATCACTAGCTGAAAGCACCAGTCTATAGTTACGATGACAGTTTGCTGTGATGAGCTGTTCGCTAGTTTTACATGGATAGAGACCAACTCCCGTTTCTGCTTAAAAATCTTTATTTTTGAAATTACAGACAGGATCTTGCTATATTTAAAAAATGATAAAACTTGCAAGTCCCGTTTCTTTCCTTTTGGTAACATTATAGTTCTCTTTCCATTTCATTTGTAGAGTGGATTAACATCCTTGCACCTTGCAGCTCAGGAGGATAAAGTGAACGTAGCTGATATACTGACAAAGCAGGGTGCAAACCAAGATGCCCAGACAAAGGTAAACCACATAATGCTACTGCTTCCCAGGTGAACAAGGATGTTATTGTTATAATGGAACGTCCCATTAACTGCATAGGTTTACTTTTTTGTGTTATTTTATTGTAGCTGGGCTACACTCCTTTAATTGTGGCTTGTCACTATGGAAACGTCAAGATGGTGAATTTCCTCCTGAAACAGGGAGCCAACGTCAATGCTAAAACAAAGGTAAAGAATTTGTCATCACTTCTGTTTTTTTCCTTCAGTGACCATATGATACTAATTCATACTGCATATGGACAGCTATAGGATTCTTTTCCTAGTAGATCTTTTTACAAATTACGCATGCACACTAAGGTATCAATATCTGCTGATTTGTGGCTGTGGTGGAATGAGTTCCCTCTGCTCTGCTTCAGGGTGCATTACTCACTAAGCTGAAGTTAGGTGCATTAACTCTGTGTGTGCGTGTGTGAGAAGGGAAATCTGTTCTCTTGAGTTTTTCCTTTATTTTATTTGTACTTGTAACACATATGAGCCTGATTCTGCTCGTATTAGTATAATTCCATTGACTTCAGCAGAGTTACTTCTGATCCTATTTACACCAGAATAAAACCCTCCAAGGTGTGCTATGTGGAGACAACTCTGCCTCTCTCAACCAGTGGTTTCTGAATCTGCCGAATATATGCTTACACTGAGGGATCTGTGACCACAAAGCCATGTTATATCACAGATGTCATCACATCACCTGCACCAGAAGAAGGAGAAGGCCAGCCCACAAAGGCCCAGCACTCCCTGGCTCCAATTCAAACTGCCTTCCTGTTGGTAGCCTATAGTCATACCGTTCACCTGGTTTCCTTGGTGTTTTGGTGTCAGTGCAAACAGCTAAGCTCCATTGATGGCTCCAACAACACATCTGGCGTCCTTGACAACTGATCAGAATCACACAAACTTGTAATTCACTGATCGTTCCTGCTGACTCCTCTGTCTCCAGCTGCTTACTTATATGGTCGATCCACTCCTCGAAGTGGGACGGCATCATGAAAATGAACCCAACTAAACAGCGCTAACTTCAGTGCACAAAAAAACACAGTGGCAGGGGTAGAGTCAGGACATTTCCAGAGCAGTCATAGCCCAGACTCAGTAGGTTAAAACCATAGATAAGATTGTTCAAAGAGCTCGTAGGTATAACAAGAAAAAAGTTGAAACCCATAATAAAAGCAGACAGCTAGAAACTGTGTGCTACCAAGTGGCAGCTGGCATCACCTCCAGCTGAGCTACTTGGAGGCAATTGAAAGGAATGTCCTAATTGCCCCTTATCTGTTAGGTGTTACTCTGTATCTAAATGTGTGTTGAACTCATTGGGTCAGGTTCTGACTTCAGTTTCCCTGGTTATTCTAGTTATCTGAAATAATTCTATTAAAGTTAGTTTAGAGTAACACCGGAGTAACTGAAACCAGTATCTGGCTCACTGGCTCTTCGAAAACATCATAAATCTTGGCAGACTAACAGATAACCAGCATTGTGGATTCACTCAGTTTAAAGAGCAAGTCCCTCCTGGCCAGATTTATAGCTGACAGAACATGTTAAAAGCCGAACGACATGCTATTGGGGTTCTTTCCATAGAGAGAACCTTCAGGATATTGTGTGCCATGCCCAGCGGAAAGGTGATGTGTCTGGACTCAATCCCAAGGGACAGCACTGATATTAAAGTAATAGAAATAATGTGCTTGTCAGTATAAAACACCACAACCTATAGTAAACCCCTGCTTTGTAACCTACCTGGTAGATGAATGCGTAGCCTAAATGTTACAAGGGCAACTAGAGTACCAAGCACGTTCTCACCCATCTGTCCATATGAAAGATACATGTCATAGTCATAGTTTAAGGCACACACACAAGTCCAAGAGATCAGTCTGAGTCCCTTAGGCTCTCTTATACATACATAAATGGTACAGTGAAATCAAATTGCGATTTCCCCCCAGTTTTATTCTCTGCCTACTTTCAAAGTCAAGTGCAGATAATTTGTAAATTAACTGCCTGACTAGATTCATACAATTCCCCCTCAGATCAGCTAGCTGACGTGCAGTCTGGCTATGCTTTTGTATTGTAGAACATCATGAATGGATCATTGGAGTAGATAAATATACAGAATTAAAAAATGTTTATTGGTATGCAGAACATGCAAATATTTTTCACTGTATCTGTGGCACAGTTGGGACCTTTTGTAGACCAACGGAAGATGAACTGCACTGACATTCATAATCAGCGAGACTCGTAGTCAAACAGCTGGTTCATTTAAAATGGACTCAATCAGTGCTTTTAGAATTTACATGGCTTTATAAATTAGCCCAAGTGTTTTTAAAGGCAGACTCCTTGGGTACCCATTAAAAACAGAGGGCTGGGAGTCAGAAGACCTGGCTCTTCCTCTCCCCCCCATTTGCTCTGTGACCTTGGGCATGAGCATTATGTTCTCTGTGCTTCATTGTTCCCATCTGTGAAATGGGGACAGTAATGTTTGCTCACCTTTATAAAGACCATTAATATTGTCGTATGAAAAATGCTCTGCAAGTCAAAATATTATCATGATTTATTATTTCATTAATCCCTAGAGGGTTTAGAGAAGGTGCTGAGAATTATTGTATGTGTGGGTGAAATGCTGGCATAGATGTGGTTTTAAATAAATTAAATGTCTTGAATAGAGGAAGTAAATTGAAATGTATTTTCTAATCACTGTATTTTTCTCTCCTTAAAAATATGGTGGTTACCACTAATAACAGAATGGCTACACCCCTCTGCACCAAGCTGCTCAACAGGGTCACACTCATATCATCAATGTTCTACTCCAGCATGGGGCCAAGCCCAATGCCATCACTGCTGTAAGTCTGGAAACTGTCTGTGGTACTACTGCAATCTATCACCTGCCTGCAGCTTTTCCCCCTGATGGCTCCTCTCTTTCCTGAGTCTGATTGACTCATCTGATTCTTCTCCTCTCTAGCCTTTTGCTTTGGTGAATGTGCTTCTCATACAGCTGGTCATCAGATGTGTGAGTGTGACTTCCTCTCTCCTTTCTAGCCCCTTAAGGTAGCTCTGCTTAGTTGCAAAGCTCTTTCCAGATGGAGAGTTAGTTTGAATAGTGAGCTGAGCATGGGATTTGGGAACAGTAATTCCTGAATTACAATTCCAGGTTGGCCACTGACTGGTTGTGTCACAGGCACTCTGCATCTCAGTTTCTCCATGTGTAAAACAAGAATGGCAATAAAGATGGTAGTCTTATTATTCTCCCAGTGCCGGGCCAAGATGAGGATCTGGGTGAAGACAAACTGACTGCAACCCTACTGTGTATAAGATGAAAGGGATACTTACTGCCCAGGATGAAGCACTTTAGTCCAGACCTGATTTACACTATTCCTCTATCCATTTGTTTGCCACCTCCTGGATTGAGTTCACTGCTCCTCCTGGATTCTCAGATAGCAGTTATAGCCTGTAGCGTAGCTTCTATCCTCTACAGACAGCCAGGAGTCGGCAACTGTTTTTCTTTAACGCCATTGTTGTAACAGCCATCTATACCACTGACAACTCCAGGTGAGCTCTGTGTACCCAGAGGTTCCAACTGGTTAAAAAAAAAACAGGCCTCAGCCTAGCTCCTGAATGGGTCAGACTGCCATGAGTGCATAGTACACCTGCTTAAATCTGCACTGGCTTCTCACTCACTCCCTGGAACAATACTCTTGGATAGCCGGGGCTCTTACTCTGGTGTTACCATCCACACAAAAATATCTCATCCAGGTTAAGTGGTGCTTTCAAGTGGGGCAAGCTGGCACAGCTTGTTGGGGGGTCAGGTCAGTCTGGGTTAGAGCCCCAGTTCAGCTTTCATTTGGGACTTGCCTTAGTTGCAGTGTTAGCTAGAGGTATATGTAATTCAAGTGTTACCCCAGCTTGATTCCTGTCTACACACACAAATCTCCCACTTGGGGTAAGTGGTGCTTTAAACTTGAGCTAGCTGGACCATCAGGAGATGTAGGTTGAAGCTCAAGTGCTTCTGGTGCTTGAGTAAATAATGCAGTAAAGCTATTCTGTGCTGCTAATCCAAACACTGTGCAGACTGAGTGTCATTTTGCAGTATGGCTTCTGTCAGTCAAGAGAGCCTAACTCAAAAGGAGTTAATTTGAGTGTAGATAACTAAACTAACCCTAAAGTGAAGCCAAGGCTTTGGGCTGGAAAGCCACCTACTTTGCAGTGGCTAAAACACTCGAGTGCTTATAGTCCTTCCCTGTCTTCCCACAATTCTCACCATGTGCTCAGAAGGACACACAAGTTCTCCCATTATTCACTGGGAAAGAATAAAAGAACTGCTCAGCTTACTGCTGTACAAAGAACCATGCCCTCAGAAGTCCTAGTGATACACACAGGTGAATACAGTAGCAATAAGGACACAGTAACTTGGATAGGGCTTTGCAGTGTGGCGGCTCATACCCTGGGGCTGATCACCCAGGTTAACTCTGAGTGAAGACATACCCTCAGACATTCTTACCTGATGTAGCTTGTGTCCGATATTTTTTTCTGCTCTTCCTGACAAAAAGGCACTGACTTTTGGCTACTCATTGTGGTTGGATTTACACTGTGCTGCTGGGAACTTTTGAAATAAATAAATACAGACCAGATTTTGATACTCTCTCACTCCCATTGAGTAGCTCCATTGACTTCAGTGGTACAGCTCCTGATGTAAGATACTGTTCAGTGTGAATGAGAATATAACAATCTAGCCCTATATAAATAAAGTAATACCTATCCACATCACAAGGGTGTTCTGGGGTTTAACTAGTTAATTAATTTTTTATTTGAAGATTAAAAGGGCTATTTAAATACTAGTTATTTTGATGGCTTAGATAGGCATTTAAATGTAAAAGAATTCTCCCCATGTCCTAAACTCGAATCTTGTTTTGTTTTGTTGCCTGTTACATCATGAGCTTTTGCATAAGTTATATATTCCCAGAGAGAGCATTGTACCTGCTGCAGATGTGAACTGTTTGTATAAGACATTAGACCCTTAAACTTTTTAATAGTTTTTAGAATAACCTCCCAAATAATAGAGTTTTTGGAAAACAATGCAGGCAAGGCACATAATGTGTAGTGAAATTTGACAACTTTAGGGTTAAAGCATGCAACATGTTTTTTATGAGGAATTGCAGGCAGATGTAAGTGTGTTGTGTTACCATGGTAATCAGGACTATAGTCTTAAAGAAGTTACAAAGACAGATTCAGATGTAATGGTAAAACTCAGTGATTTTCCTAAGCTGTGCCTTGTTTTGGATGGAAATGCTGGCTCATGCAGTGCTGGGAGTGATCTCATTGGTTCAAATCACAGTCCTCCCTCTCATTTCTCTCTCTCTCTCTTCAGAATGGTAACACTGCCTTAGCGATTGCAAGGCGTTTGGGATACATCTCAGTGGTTGATACTCTGAAGGTGGTAACAGAGGAGGTCACCACCACCACAACTGTGAGTACTAGATGTGTTTTAATGCTTCCATTCTCTATTCATAATGCTGTCTCTACTGTACTGCTTCAGACTCCCTCTGCCTCCCGCTTCCTCTTTTTAGTTTAAGTTTTTAAGGCCTTCCTTTGCTTGGTTGTTGCAAATGTATTGATGTGCATATAGATGTGCATACAGTACACAGAATGAATATAAATAGCTCTATAAATCTGAGTTTACACAGATGAAATAACAGGTACTCAAACCAGAATATAAGTTTTTAGAGAAGGGCCTGAGCAGCAAATCTAAACTTTCCTGAAGTTTGGGAGTGTTTGTATAGGTTCTGGCCAATTTCTCTATTTTTCTTTTCCATTATCCTACTTCCTTATTTTCAGTCTCTCCTTATACTTGTATGCTTTCCTCTGTGACACCTGCTTGTGGCAGAACCACCACAGCAGGCTTCTTAGCAATCAGGCTATGCCAATCCATGGATGGGTGCCAGACTTCGTGGTGCTCACTAAGCGGCCCTGAAGCACATAAATCCTCATTTTGCTCAAATCACTTCCAGAACAAATCGATCCAGTTTTATCATAGTGTAAAAAATCCCTGCTCACTTCCTCAGCCCTCAAACTGACTGGAATCAGGATTTTGGTTCTCGGGGCTCATGAATGATATATGCCAAACCTCCTGAGTTGAGCCAAGTTGATGCCTGTGGAGTAGTTTTATTTTTCAAAACTCTGTTTACTCCTTTTTTTAAAAAAAACAATTTAATTTTAGAGAGGATAGTGATAACTAGCCACTTGGTTACATGGTCAGAATAGATGGAAACGGTTGCTTTTAACCAGAAAGACTAGCTATATTCTGATGCCATGACACAAGTGGTCACATATCGCTCCAGTCTGACACTGTTTTAGTAAGTCAGAAAAAAGGCCTTCAAAAAGCTGTGTATCACTGAACACAGTAATACTACAATTTTTTGCATGAATTTGCCTTACTGTCTTTTACCATGAAAACTTATAAGGACAATGCTTATTTTTTAAAGCGTAAAACATTATAAAAATAGAAAGGCTATAAGCATTAGGCGCCCCATAATGATCAATCCAAAAATTCGTGAAAAGATGCTACCATATATTCTAAACCAAGAACATGTACCACAGTGGAGATGGGTGGGGGAGGAGGAGGGAGGAACGAGAGAGAGGAAAATAATCTTGCTTTTACATCGCATGCTGACAGCAAGTCCCTGTTGAAATGAACAGAGTAAGATGGAACAAAATTGGCTTGACATGATGTTATAAATAGAGTGAGCTATGTTTTATTAATGAACTGTGAGAAACAGGCTTAGTTTTCTTCTCCAAATTTGAGTCAATCTCCAGAAGAATCTTAGTAAATATGGAGTATTTGCTTTTGCTGATATTTATTTATTTACTCTTATAACATACATATTTGTGTGTGTGTGTGTGCGAGAGAGAGAGCGAGCGAGCGAGCATGTATTCTCCCTCTCTCTGGGTAACATTTATCAAAAGTAATTAAGTCCATTTTCAAAACTGATTTATGTAGCCTATGTAACCACCCCTTGTCTTCTCTGTTTTCCTCATCTTCCTTCTCCTATTTCCCTTTCACGTCTTTTACACCCACTTGTTGAATCTTCCATTGTATTTGTACAACACCTAGCAACACCCTGCTATCAGTGGCTGTCCAGGTACCATAACAATATAAATATTAAATTATAGAAATAATATGAATTGCAGTATTAAAAAGGAAATTTATAAACACATTTAAAATACATAACTTTGATTTAGTTATTTTGGATAAAAGATTTTTTTAAAACTCTATACTATATATGTGGGCAGTGGACCTTTCCTCCTGACATGGCAGATGCTTGAGGAGGCATTTATCTTTGGGCTAAATCAAACGTTTGTTGAACCTAAAGGTTTCTGTACAAGAAATCCTATTTCTTTTAGTGTATCTGTGTACCCAGTATGCAAATTCAAACAAGAGAGAAACAGTGTTTAAAAAGTCTTGTGGGCAAATTCATCCCTGGTGAACTATGCCTGACATAGATAGAGTTTGCCAGAGATGAATTTGACTCGGTCCTCAAACGCCACTTTGGTGCATGCAGGTAATGAGGTCTCTGCAGCGTCTTAAAGAGGTAATTTGGGTGGTTAAAGAGCTTTTGGAACTATTGCCAAAAAGGAAAGATAAATTGCAGGTACTCCCTGCAATAGGGTTTTCCAGATGGTGAGGTTGATATTGCTAGTACAATATAACATTCAACCCTGAAAAAGATACATTGCCAGTACAGTCCCCATAGCTATTTCGTTCTTCAAGGCCCTGACTAAGATCAGTGATATAATTGAGTGCTGCACAGAGAATGTTAGACAATCTGATGCTCTATTATATGCAAGTCACTGGCATTCCCAAAGATGAGGAATTTCCAATGCTGGTTTATATATGGAACAATTGCTTCCAAAGGCCCTTGGCCTACTATAAACGTGCGGAGTCTCATTTCCCTTTCATTTACATCAGCATAGCTCTATTGATATGCATGGAGCTCCCAGAATATAAAGCAATGACACTAAGAAGAGAGTAGAGAAGGATTGACATATAATAGAAAGCAGGTAGCATGGAAGCACGGTTGGTTCTTATGCTACAGAAAACTTGTGATTTGTTTTAAAGAAAACGTTTGTCCTGCCTTCTGATTTTCACTTTGCAGGTCACAAAGTGACAAATTTAAATTGTTAAGCTGCTTCAGAGCAACAGTTAATTTGTGTATATATTTCAATGTAGTTGGTAGAAACAAATATTTTGTGATGCATATATGAGCTTTAGGTAGTGTATAAGAACATAAGAATGGCCGTACTGGGTCAGACCAAAGGTCCATCCAGCCCAGTATCCTGTCTACCAACAGTAGCCAATGCCAGGTGCCCCAGAAGGAGTGAACCTAACAGGTAATGATCAAGTGATCTCTCTCCTGCCATCCATCACCACCCTCTGACAAACAGAGGCTAGGGATACCCTTCCTTACCCATCCTGGCTAATAGCCATTAATGGACTTAACCTCCATGAATTTATCCAGTTCTCTTTTAAACCCTGTTATAGGTCTAGCCTTCAAAACATCCTCAGGCAAGGAGTTCCATAAGTTGACTGTGTGCTGTGTGAAGAAGAACTTCCTTTTATTTGTTTTAAACCTGCTGCCCATTAATTTCATTTGGTGGCCCCTAGTTCTTATATTATGGGAACAAGTAAATAGCTTTTCCTTATTCAATTTCTCCACATCACTGATGATTTTATATAACTCTATCATATTCCCCCTTAGTCTCCCCTTTTCCAAGCTGAAAAGTCCTAGCCTCTTTAATCTCTCCTCATATGGGCCCCTTTCCAAACCCCTAATCATTTTAGTTGCCCTTCTCTGAACCTTTTCTAATGCCAGTATATCTTTTTTGAGATGAGGAGATCGCATCTGTACGCAGTATTCAAGATGTGGATGTACCATGGATTTATATAAGGGCAATAAGATATTCTCCATCTTATTCTCTATCCCCTTTTTAATGGTTCCTAACATCCTGTTTGGTTTTTTGACTGCCACTTTACACTGCATGGAGGTCTTCAGAGAACTATCCATGATGACTCCAAGATCTTTTTCCTGATTAGTTGTAGCTAAATTAACCCCCATCATATTGTATGTATAGCTGGGGTTATTTTTTCCAATGTGCATTACTTTACATTTATCCACATTAAATTTCATTTGCCATTTTGTTGCCCAATCACTTAGTTTTATGAGATCTTTTTGAAGTTCTTCACAGTCTGCTTTGGTCTTAACTATCTTGAGCAGTTTAGTATCATCTGCAAACTTTGCCAGCTCAATTTTTACCCCTATCTACAGATCATTTATGAATAAGTTGAATAGGATTGGTCCTAGGACTGGCCCTTGGGGACACCACTAGTTACCCCTCTCCATTCTGAAAATTTACCATTTATTCCTACCCTTTGTTCCCTGTCTTTTAACCAGTTCTCAATCCATGAAAGGATCTTCTCTCTTATCCCATGACAACTTAATTTATGTAAGAGCCTTTGGTGAGGGACCTGTCAATGGCTTTCTGGAAATCTAAGTACACTATGTGCACTGGATCCCCTTTGTCCACATGTTTGTTGACCCCTTCAAAGAACTCTAATAGATTAGTAAGACATGATTTCCCTTTACAGAAACCATGTTGACTTTTGCCCAACAATTTAGGTTCTTCTATGTGTCTGACAATTTTATTCTTTACTATTGTTTCAACTAATTTGCCCGGTACTGACGTTAGACTTACCGGTCTGTAATTGCCGGGATCATCTCTAGAGCCCTTTTTAAATATTGGCATTACATTAGCTATCTTCCAGTCATTGGGTACAGAAGCCAGTTTAAAGGACAGGTTACAAACCATAGCCGGCTCAGGGTTGGGAATCTCCCTAACATCCTCAGCCGTGAAGACTGAAGCAAAGAATTCATTTAGTTTCTCCGCAATGACTTTATCGTCTTTAAGATCTCCTTTTATATCTCGATCGTCCAGGGGCCCCACTGGTTGTTTAGCAGGCTTCCTGCTTCTGATGTACTTAAAAAACATTTTATTATTACCTTTTGAGTTTTTGGGTAGCTGTTCTTCAAACTCCTTTTTGGCTTTTCTTATTACATTTTTACACTTAATTTGGTAGTGTTTATGCGCCTTTCTATTTACCTCACTAGGATTTGACTTCCTTTTTAAAAGATGCCTTTTTATCTCTCTCTGCTTCTTTTATATGGTTGTTAAGCCACAGTGGCTCTTTTTTAGTTCTTTTACTGTGTTTTTTAATTTGGGGTATACATTTAAGTTGGGCCTCTATTATGGTGTCTTTGAAAAATGTCCATGCAGCTTGCAGGGATTTCACTTTAGTCACTATACCTTTTAATTTCTGTTTAACTAACCCCCTCATTTTTGCATAGTTACCCTTTCTGAAATTAAATCCCACATTGTTGGACTGTTGAGGTGTTCTTCCCACCACAGAAATGT